TGCTGGGGGTGGGTAAACCATGTAGTGTGTATTATTGTTATGTATTTAAAACATCAAAAATATTCTGAATTTTAATATTTGCCCCTATACCCAGGGGTTGTAGACAAGGGATTATGGAATTTATGTGGTCCCCTCAAGTTAATGTCAGCAGCAACCACCAAAAACAGTATCTCAAAATTTGATCTCATAAAGATGCAAGGAAGAAAAAATCAGAACTTTCTGAAAGTCATGTCCAGACTTCTGTGAGCTGATTTGCCTTCCTTTATTTTTCATACATGACATTTCAAGGAGGTTCAAGTCAACCTGTTTGTGAAATGGACTTATCTCTTAATTAAATACATCACCTTCTTTTGAAAACTCTAATTATTATTAAGGCCTTTTATTATTTTTACTATAATATAATAATATATTAATAATTATAGTAATATATAATACATTGTATTATATATTATATTAATTTTACTATAATAGAAAAATTAATAACTTTAATACTATATAATATATTACTACACATATATTATGTACATTATTAATAATATAATTACACTATTAGTAATAATAAAACTAAATTTACTGTTAAATTGTCTATAAAGCATTTTTACAAATAAATTGTAACCAGTTAAATAGAATAGGACAGGCATGAAGAAAAAAATCTCACATTTCCCTCCCCATTTCCAGGTCTGCTTCTCAAGGCAGCGAGATCTAGGTCTTTCTCTGTTTGTACAAGCATTTAATATAATTTAATTTGAAATCTCTTTGAAATCTCTTCCTATGTCACCTATGACATTTAAACTACCATTGCATGAGACTATCCTAATTATATGTAACCTTATCCCTGCTGATGGGGCCTCAGGATCTCCAGCACTGGGGGTGACAGCAACGTTACAGTGACGTTCTAGTCCACACAGCCTTGTATCCCTGAGCTTTTATTTTTGTGTGGCATGTTCCTAAGGCCTGGAATGCTGGGAGGTGTTATCTTGGTGCCTGTTACCAGGTAGCTTGTTCCAGTGAAGCAAAAGGCACTGCCACCTGCAAGGTTCCACTTGCCTAAGTGAGCGCTCTCTTTCTGTGGCTGATTCGCTTGTTTAGGAATTTTGTGTTCCGATAAGACTCCACGTTTGTTCTCCTTTTTTATTCACAGTCCTCCTTGTGGACGCTTTGATATAGATGAGGAATCTGAGACACAGCAGGTGAAATGAGTGCTGTAAGTTCCCACAGTGGAGGACTGGGAACTCAGTCCATAGATCTAGAACTCTTTGTCACTTTGCAGTGTGGTAATAAATGAATGTGATTTTTTTTAAATTGAAGGCTTAAAGTCACTTGTTATTTCCTTGGTTTTTTTTAATTGTTATGCACAAAATACTTCCGTAACTATTTCTGGTCCATTCTTCTTTCTTTTCTTGAATGGTTTCCTCAGACGTACCTTGAATGAAATCGGCACTATACAGGAATGCACATTTTAATATTACAACATATGCAGATCTTAAAATTGTATGACTGTTTCTAACCCACAGTAGGAGACTCCCACTGTAGCACACCCCCGTGTGACTTGTCTCACTGTTGAACACTTTAGGCAACCTGATAGATTTAATCTGGTTTATGTTTGTGGACTTCATTGTATTTGTCTGTTTTCACTAAGTGAGGTTCAGATTCTTTTTGCAAGTCCATCGACCCTTTGGGCTTCTGTGATTACCCAGTAATCACAGTTTACTCTTGATTTGAGAATGTTTCTATTAGGTTCTTGACTTTATTGATCTGTGGAAGCCTGTTATATCAATCCCATATCTTCTGATAGGCTTAAAACAGTTGTCACTCACTGTTGACTTTATATGAAGCATGTTATAATCGTTCAATTGTATATATATATTGTTATGATGTAGATTTTTTTTAAAGATTATTTATTTATTTATACAAGCACTGGGTACACTCAGAAGCTTGGGAGGGTGAGAGAATTCACTAGAGCCAGAGCAGGGAGCAGAACAGGCAGACTGACGAAGTACACTGCCGAGGGGAGTAACGGGCATGGCAGGAGAGGTCTGCGTGCTATGTGGGATCCTCACGGGTGGCAGGGATCGAACCAGCGCTGGAGAGGCTGCGGGCAACTTCGTAGCCAACGCTCAACCACTGTGCCACTGGGGAGGCCCTGTAGATGTTATTCTATTCATATTTACTCATATATTTGGGCCTTTGGTATTGATTTCTAACCTATTTGTATTGTACCCCCTACCCACTGGGGCAGCCTCTCTTTGCTCTATCATCTCCTCTGTGGTTTTCCTTGGCTGAAGCAAATAGAAGTCAGAGAAAATGGAGCCTGGAAGATGTGTCCACAGGGGTCAGCTTTACTGGGAACAGCAGAGTGGAGAAAGGTGGGGAGTGACCTTGAGGGGAAAAAGTGAGACCCTAGGACAGGAAGAGTTTCTGCAACTTGATTTCCCTTAGTGATGGAGTCCAGTAATCATTGTTTAACCCAGTAACACAGTGCATGCTTAACTCTGTTGCTACAACTTCTGTTCAGTACTGCTTCAGTACAACTTTCAGTACTGCTCAACTGTTCAGTGTCACACTTAAGTTTATCATATATTTTCTATTTTACTTGATCCAATCAATAGTTACATGTTTTTGTTATGTATATTGGTGTCCAGTTTATTTTCTTCTGCTAATTCATTAGCTGATACAAAACAGAAGACCTTATAATTTAAAAAGCGTGGAGCAGGTTTCCTCAGGTCAGGGTAAAATTCTGGGTTTTCAATAACCTGTGTCCTTAGCTTTGTTATTTTCCTTTCTTATTCTTGGTGTGTGTGGTATTATTAAAATGGGAAGGTGGTTCTGCTCAAATCATCTGTGATTCCTACTTGTCCTACAGGAGATGACTGACTTAGCGGGGACAGTAACACTATCATTTTGGGTGATTCTGGTCCTTGGCTTTTCTGAGTGGTGAGATGGTGATGATGACATTTATTTTTACTATCCATTATTGATCATTTCCCATATACCAGGAATTTCACCAGCTCTTACGTTTATATTAGGTCATTCAAATATCTTCCATACCTTTATCTGTGTTAATAGGATTTCTGCTTTATATTTAACAGATAGAGGATGACTCATGCACCCAGCAGGAAACATATTTGAACACAGGCTAGTTTATTGAAAACTAAAGACATCAAAAACATATCTTTTGTTGTTTTCTGTTTTATTTTGCAGTCCGTGTGACTCTGGATCCGGATACAGCTCATACTCACATAATTGTCTCTGAGGATTAAAGACAAGTGACCTATGAAGGCCCCCAGTTGATCCTTAGAAATTCTCTAAGATATCTTGACCGTACCCTGTGTCCTTGGCTGTGAGCACTTCAACTCAGGAAGACATTACTTTGAAGTGGATGTGAGAGAAGATTCTGGGTGGGATTTAGGAGTCTGTCTGGAAAATGTACCCAACCATGCTCTCTTGAGTCTGCAACCTACATGTGGATCCTGGGTCATTAGATCATGCAAAGGGAAAGCATATGTAGCCTTTACCAATCCCACAACTTCCCTTCCTCTGAAGGCGCAAATCTGGGTTTTGGGAATTTTTGTGGATTGTGAGGACGGATATGTGTTCTTTTACGATATGACAAGTACTGGCTCCCACATCTTCATCTTCCCAAGGGCCCCTTTCTCTGATACTCTCCACCCCTTTTTTAGGATTTCTCAAGGTTCCGCTTCATTCCTAAATTGACTAAAACAGTGGACTATAACTGTGTAGTCAAGGTCTATTTGATTATATCTGAGTCCTTCCAGTAGTAACTAATTTTTTATATTTTAGAATAGTTTAAGAAAACGGGCATTAGCAATCTGGAATGTATCAACTTCCTTTCCAATACTGAGACCGCCCCGCCATTAAAATTCATTTTTATTCATCATCCCATTCCAATTTGAAGCCTCTTGCTGTAACCATCGTAAACCTTCTCTCACACTTTAACAGGTTATTGCCCGAAGGACTCACTGGTCCGGTAGCTGTCCCACTAATGATGACAACCAGGATGAGAGGTCAAATTCATGCTCTGGTCTCTCTTCAGATTAACAATAACATGTCAGTAGTGAGAAGATTCCAGCTCCTTTGATGTTTCTGCTTGTTCATGCAGCTGACACACAACTTCACGGCCACATGTGACTTCACATGGTATCAAAGAAACTGGGAACACTCAGCCCCAGAGAGAGTCTATGTATCACAAAGAATGGTGGGGGAGATACACAATGAGCTAATGTATGCTCAGTGCTTGGTGAATTTGTGGTATATGAAGTGATAATGTGATAAAAAAAAAAAAAAGCATACCATCATCTTCATCATAACCATCTCCATCTCTAAAAAGCCAAGACAGAGACAGAGTGGACAGAGAAACTGTCCTTCCCAAAGCCCTTGCTCTCCCAGGTAAGACATCTCAGACAAGGACTCCTGAAAATCAGATCTCTGAACCCACTCAAGAGGCATGGAGAGGATGATGGATGATTCTGGTGCAAGCAGGCACAGGGTGGGTTCACTGCAGCTTTGGTAAATGGTAAAGGGAGAGTCCTGGAGCCCTCAGTGGATTTTACAGGCCCTTAATGCTCTCAGGGAACCAGGTACACCGGCACACCCGGTAGGAAGGCAGGCATCGGCTGGGCAGGGAGGCTGGGGGGGGCAAGGGGGGGGCAAGCCTCCAGTATGGCAAACCTTTACGCTTTTTCTCTGGCCTCTTTTTATGGAGTTCTCAGTTTTGATCTCTCGTGGCCTCGCCCAGAGTGGTCCTCCTGTAGCTGCAGTCCTGATAGCGCCACCGCTTACAGCTCTGGTCTCCCAGCACAGATGCCCACAATGGCACATGTGTACTCCCTCACCCTGTGGGCCCAACTATCCACAATGACAGGCGTGTGTGCCCTATGCCCAGGTCTCTCTGCCCTGGGCCTCCACAATGGGCAGTGGGAGTGGAGGAAAGGGCCTGATTTTTCCTCATTTAACCTACAGTGATCATTGTTATAATCTTGCTTTTTCCCCAGCGAAGGCTGACCATCTACAGGATTTTGAGTTTGTTGTGTCTTGTTTTTAAAGATTTATTTATTTTTATACAAGAACCGGGGCACAGGCCAGATGCGAGGGAGGGTGAGAGGATTCACCAGACACAGAGCAGGGAACAGAACAGGCAAACTGACAAAATACACTGCTGAGGGGAGCAGCGGGCGAGACAGGAGAGGTCTGCTTCACCACATGGGATCATTGCCGGCTGGCCGGAATTGAACCTGCGCTGCAGAGGCTGTGGACAGCTTCACAGAGCGGTGCTAAACCGACTGCACCACCAGGGAGGCCCACATTTTGAGTTTTTATATCCATTCATTCAATGAAGATTTACTGAGTACTCACTGAGTGCTCAGCACTGTTCTAGGTAAAGGGAAACAGAAGTGAAAAATAGAGGCCAACTTATGGTCTTCACAGCATTTTGATTATATTCTCTATGATATGATGGTTCCACCATGGAGGCTTTATTCATGTCTTTTCTCATCTGGAGGAGGTAGGAATAAGGAAGAATTGTGATCAACCCAGAAAAAGGGTCGGAGAGTTTTAGAAAAGGTGGCAGAAGGCAGGTAGAAGGTGTGTAAGAGGGAACCAGTGGGCATGTTGTAAAAGGACACACGTCCAGCCTCATAGTCAAGAAAAACCCCCACAATCTGGGGCTTCTCAGGCAGAGAAAGGGATTTTATATAATCAGTAAGGGCAGTGCAGCCATCTGCTCTCCTCCACCTGATCACCCAGAATCCAGATGCAGGCTTCAACTTCATGTCCCTGTCTCTGGGCACATCTTCCAGGCAAACTCCTAAGTTCCACCCGGTTCCCTGTCCCACGTCCACTTCAAAGTAATGTCGTCCTGAGGTGAAGCCCTCAGAGCCCAGGACACAGGGTAAGGCACGAAATCTCTTAGAGTTGTAACGCTTTTTCTGGGTGTCTCCATGGGTCACTTTTCTCCCATCCTCAGACAGAATTAGATTACTGTGAGCTGTCTCTGGATCCAGAGTCACACTGACTGAAAAATTAAACAAACAAAAACCAAAAGGGATTATGTTTTCACAATGACAACTGTTTGACTTAAAACCAGCCTGTGCGCAAATGCAAGCTTGTTTCCTACTATCTATGTGAGTCATTCTCTGAAATTCTAATTCAATATAAAATGAGATCACAAGAATGGCGGGAAGGTATTGAATGAGCTAATGTATGCTTTAGGCCTGGTGAAATTTCTAGTATAGTCAGTGATCAATGTGATAAAAAAAAATTCCAGATCATCTCCATCTCTATCACCATCACCATCTCTTAGAAAAGCCAAGGACCAGAACTACCTGTAGAGATACTGTCCTCCCCAGAGCCCTTGTTCTCTCAGGTAGGACAACCAGGAATCATGGAGATTATAGCAGACGAGTCCTTCCCATGTTTATTAAAAATCTCCCACACCAAGGATCAGAGAGGAAAATAGCACGGCTAATGTCATAGCTTGTGACTGAAGTCCCAGGATTTCCCCAGGTCTCAGGACACACGCCAGTCCCATGGCTTGTAAGGGTGAGCTCTTCAGATAATGTTCCACAGGGATTAGATTAAAGAAATAATCTAAACACCAACATAACACACCTAATAACTAGAGTCAAGTAAAATAGAAGCAAATGTGATAAACTCATAACGATAACATGAAGAAGCAGAGGACTGAACAATAAAAAAGTGCAACATATAAAACAATATAAAATGGAAATTTTCCAGGCAGAATTTTCAGGAAATTCGAGTCTTTACATGTATGATTTAAAAAACGAAAGACGATCAAAACCACTATACTCTGTAGCAAATTGAAACTTGAAAAAGGCAAGAGAAATCCAAAGAGAATTGTTTAATAAGGAAAAATAGAAATTAAGCAATAACTGAGGTTAAAAATAAAGTAAAGAAAGTAACAGAGAAGGAAAAGAAAAGCGGTCCTCAGCTATACCTATGGCAAGAAGGACCCAAGGAGAAAGAGAAGGCAACTGAGGAAGGATGTTTAAAAATTAAAGAAATTTATGACAATCTTTATGCTACTAATAAAACTGAATGCAATCCAAAAAAATGAAAAACTGGGGCTCCCCGGTGGCACAGTGGTTGAGCCTTGGGTTGCGAAGCTGCCCGCAGCCCTTGCAGCACCGGTTCGATCCCCAACAACCGGGTGAGGGTCCCACATGGCGCGCAGACCTCTCCTGCTGCCCGCTACTTCCTTCAGCAGTGTACTTCCATCCTTCTGCCTGCTCTGCTCCCCGCTCTGGCTCTGGTGAATTCTCTCACCCTTCCGCGCTACTGACACTACCCAGTGCCTGCATAAATAAATAAATAAATAAATCTTTTAAAAAAATAATAACTTTATATAAAAATATTTCTCAGGCTTCTCCTTGGTGGCGCAAGGGGTTAAGATGCAACCTGTGAAACTATCCTCAACCTCTGCAGCATGAGTCCAACCCCCTGCTGGCCAGGGAGCAACCCACATGGCACAGCAGACCTCTCCTGACTTACCCGCTGCTCCACTCAGCAGTGTACTTCAGTCAATCTGCCTGTTCTGTTCCCTACTCTGTCTCTGGTGAATCCTCCCACCACCCCACCCCGACTCCTCTGGCCTGTACCCCAGCTCTTATATGCATAAATAAACAAATCTTTAAAAAAAAAATTCTTGTCCATGAGAAAGAAAGCATGAGTAAGCCATGAGAGAAATGATCACTGGTTTACACACAGATAATAAACAGGGATATGTATCAACCAAAACTTCCACTATTGATAACTTTCATCTGGGCCACCAACACGCCATCCAGACTGAGTAAGACCCCAAACTTCGGGCCACAAGAGCCAAGGCCAAGGCTGCACCTGAAAGCACTGGAAGCTCCCAGGAGGCATGGTAGTGCTGGTGGATTTATCATACCAGGATTAACTTTGACAAATAGCATCAAGGTTACTTTGCGAAAGCTGGCTGAGGCACTTCGAGAGCCATCAGAGCTTCTGCTCCTCGGTCAACCTTGATAAACTGTGGCCCTCGGTCATTGAGCGCTCAGACTCATGTAAATGCTGCCCAAAACAGGACCTGAAGTGGCCCCCATCACTGAGATGGTACAATGGGGCTACGACAAAGTTCTGGGAAGGGAAAGTGCCCAAGGCAGCCTGCCATCCTGAAAGCGAGATGATGCAGGAGAGGAGCTGAGGAGCAGATTAAGGGTGCTGGGGAGAGTGAGGGGGTTGTGTCCTGACAGCTGGAAGCTACAAGGAGGATCATTAAATGCTACATGTGCCAAAAAAAAATTTACTATTCAAGATAATGAAAATACCCACAGTGCTTCACAGAGTCCACTGAGCAAACTTTCCATTTAGTGTGGCTCAGAGGCAGGAGCCCCGTGGTGACACACCAGAAGTGGTCCTAGACTTCCAAAATACAAGCAATAATGTAAACCAATTTTGCCTCAGAGATATTAAAAAAGCAAGGGCAAAACACATCTCCCAAAGAAAAGAGAATTACATGACCCCCTTACCTAAGGACAGAAATACAAAATTCCTAAACAAAATCGTGTAAAAATAATACATTTTATGTATCTCGATATATATATTTTATATATGCATATATGTATAACATACATAATTTACCACACATGGTAACAATTTGTTTGCAACACATATAGATAAAAAGTGAATCTGATATATACATACCATATAGGTTACAATCAAAACATCTAGAGAGGGCCTCCCCGGTGACGCAGTGGGTTGAGCACAGTGCTGTGAAGCTGTCCACAGCCTCTGCACCGTGGGTTCGATTTCCGGCCAGCCAGGGAGAAACCCACATGGCATGGTAGACCTCTCCCGTCTTGCCCGCTGCTTCCCTCAGCAGTGTCTTCGGTTCATCTGCCTGTTCTGCTCCCCACTGTCTCTGGTGAATTCTCTCACCCTCCCGCACCTCTGATCTGTACCCCAGTTCTTGTATAAATAAATATCTTTGAAAAAAAAATACATATCAAGGCATATCTAATAATATTAAACGTGTTATATTTTATACATGTATGTGGTTTCTCTCCATGAATTTGATAGAGTGCATACCCATTATCTAATCTGATAAAACATCAAGCCAGATATATAATATAAACATAAAATACATATATTAATATATAAAATATATTTTGAGAATCCCTAAAATATAACAGGAGTATATACATGCAAAATCTATATGTATTATATGGAGTACACCTAATATATGAGGTACATATAAAGCAGCTATATCATGCATATTTATATAGTGTGCATATTTATTTATTTGTTTTTTTAAGATTTATTTATGCATTCATACAAGAGATGGGGTACGACCAGAGGTGTGGGGGGAGAGAGGGAAGGGCGGTGAGAGGATTCGTGGGGAGCAGAACAGGCAGACTGACTGAAATACACTGCTGAGGGGAGCAGAGGGGAGACAGGAGAGGTCTGCTGTGCCATGTGGGTTGCTCCCTGCTGGGGATTGAACTCGTGCTGCAGTGGCTGCGGACAGCTTCATAGGTTGTGTCTTAACCCATTGCGCCACCAGTGAGGCCTTATAGTGTGCATATTTATGTAGTACACATAATAAAAAAAAAAACTAACCCGTGAAAGCTGACTACAGAAGTAAGCACCAGAGGGGGAGGGAGAGGGCAGAGGAAAGAACAAAGAGGAAAGGAAGCACAATGGACCACGGCGGTGGGCGATGCTGATGGTGCGGTGGGTGCACTGTAGTGATAGGTATCACTAAATATTACTTCCATTAATGATAAATAAACTTAAAACATAAATAAGAGATTATAATACATACACATAAATTTTAAGATAAATATGTAAATTTAATATAGAATTTAAAAAGAAAATGTCATCAGAGTCAAGGTCCTAGAACTAGTTGCATCTCAGTCCATCACACTCGTCTATCTTTCTTGCATTGTTCTGACTTTCCTGACATAGTATCAATACCCTTTATGTCCCAGACATTGTCCTAATCTAACATGGGTGGATGCACTTCCTTTTATGACAACCAATAAATGGAAAATTGTTAGTATTTTCAGTTCTCTGATGAGGCACACAAGGAGGTGACTTGCCTGGGCTGACACAAGTAAGAAATGGGAGAGCAGGAAACTGAGGAGGGCAGAGATCCCCAGTTAGCTGTGGGCCTGTGCAAGCACGGAGCACCCTAAAGCAGGAGAGTGTGGGGCTCCAGAGAAACAGCTATATGTCTGGCCCACAGACAGGTGGAGAACGTGGTTAACACTAAAGTTAACTTTCACCCCCAGCACTGAATAATTCTTGACTTTCCATACCTTGGTAGGTCTTTAACATGTCCCTCACATCGAAGTAGAGCTCAGAAACATTGCAGACAGTACGAGGTTCCAAAGACACGGCCTCTGGGACTTGCAGCTTCATAGCTGAACTCCTAGAATCAGCAGAGCACAGAGACTTCAGTGGACCTTCCATTGAATTCTCCGTGCCCCACCCCTGCCCCCATACTCATACAGCACGTACCTGTTCAGGGTGTCTTTCACGCCCTACAGACAAACAGGGATAAAAGGTGAGTTTAGAAATATCCACATTAAATGGGGCTTGGCATGTGGCTGTTCTCTATACACTCCATCCAAAGCAGAGTGAGTCCCACCTTGCTACTGAGGGATTCCCAGGTCAAATGTGTGCCATCCTGTCCCCTAGATCTAGAGCACGGCAGCCAAAGGGATCTATGTGAGCCCAGTAGCCTTCTTGCTATGGACTGTGATCACAGCAGAGTGTGGGCTGCTTGAGGAGGGCTGGGAGATCTTGCTTTCAGGAACTTAACTACCTTCAGATGAGTCTATATTAGCAATCACTTATCACACAGGCCTTTCCTTAGTGAAGAATCCATGCAGAGCTGATGAGAATGGGAAACTGGGGTGACAAAGCCAGGTGTCAACCTTACAGTGTGGCCTCCAGTTCTTCAGTGGCAACTAAAATAAACAGCTCCAGCAATTAATGGTATTGGGGTGGATCCCTCATGCAGCTAGAGGAATGTACAATTAGAGCTCCCCGGGCAGGTGATTCACATGAAACCAGGAAAAACATTGTCATTCATCCTGGGGGCCCCGGTGTATTATCCTACGGTCATGTGGACAAGTCTTTAAGCAGACAGATACTCAGGCTCCTGTGCACATGGGACAGAGGCAACAGGAGGTAAAGGATAGCCCGTGGCTCCATCTGCCCAAGAGACACACCACATATATCCAGGCTGGGTGTGTTTTCTCAGATTCATATAAAAAAACACCCTCTAGACTGGGAAGGCCAACCTGCAGATACTGATATATATTTAAGAGAAACACCATGTTAAAGTATGACTCAGGAATGTCATGCTTTACAGTGAAACAGGGATTTGTCCCAAATTCCCTCACCACACTCCCTTAATGCCTCAGGACAGACAACTCTTCTCTACCCTTCCAGTGAGCAGCCTCACCTTCAGCAAATTCAGGGTTGATTCCTGATGTTTCTTCTGTAGTTCCAGGATGTGACTCTTCAGTTCACTGCTCTGCCTTTCCACACTGGCTTCACTGTCCTGCAGTTTTTTGAGAGTCTGCCATTTTTCCATTTCCAGTTCCTCCAGAAAATACAACTCTTCTCCACGGAGTAAGTCGAGGAGACTCTGAAAGTCAGAAAGGATTTTTTCTCTCTGAAGATCCATCTTCTCCTACAAAGAAAAAGCACGAACAAAAGGCATACATAAACCAAAATTCTTTTATGGATGAAATGAGAAACAAAATGAGGTACAGATAGACAATGGAAAAGTGTTCAATATTATAAAATGTATGAAATTCTGTTATGGGTAAATCTTAAAGACACTACGGTAAGTGAAGTCACAGAGAAATGGCAACAATTTTATGATTGTACTTATAGAGGTACTCAGTCAAATTTAAAATCAAAGTAGAAGGCTGGAGACTAGGTGGCAGGAGGGACAGCAGGGACACTGTTGAGTGAGGTTGAGTTTCAGATTGGCTGGATGAACTAGTTCTGCAGATGGAGAGGCAAGATGGGGGCTCCACAGTGTGAAGACAATGCCTTGAACACACAGGATGCTGAAAATGGTAAATTTCCAGATATAGTTTGAAAGACACATACAGACTTGTAAACCTAGAGTTTGCTGTGCGACTGTGACTTTTTTTTTTGATGGGACATCTGAAGACAGTGTGCCAGTTCCTGCTGCAAAGCCACGCCCAGGACTCAGGCCCTCACATGTGGAAGATGCTGTCACAGTTTTCTGTAGCCAACTAACTAATTTTCTTCTTCTTCCATCAAGAATTACGGGACCTAGGTTCAAAATGCTAGATAACTTCATTCTGGAACTACTGCCAAGACAAAATACTTACATGAGCCCGTTTTTATTTGGATGTAAGAAGGTTTAACTGTTTCTAATGGAATGCTGGGAAGTAAAAGTTTGTGATGATTCTTACAAAGACTAGATGTTAAGACAACCAGGCTGGTAGGTGACTGACCCCAATGTACTCAGACAAGTATAGATGAGAGGTACCTGAACTATTCATCTACCAAGCCTGTGCCCACTTGATCCTCCTTATGTGTAAGACTGACAGAATCCAATCTCTCTTGTGGGACTCACTTTTCATTGGGAGACACAGAGTTTCAATTTCCACTGGGGCTTCCTCAGTTCATGGGGTGCTTCAGTGACTGTGATGTTGTGGAGAGGGGAGACTGATTGTGCAGGAGACACATACAGGACAGCCGGATTCTGGCATTGACCTGGTTTCCCTATATACTTGCAACAATGGGAGTTCTCACAACATGAGATTCCAGAAATGAATCAGGAAGTATGACTCTCCTTTGAGAGCTCAACTTTAGCATCCACACACAAAGGACCAGGACAGTGGCCTGAAGAGACCCCTGAGGGAGGTGGAAATGATGAAGCGCTCTGCAGGCTGTGTGCCTGGGACGGATCACACCAGTATTTCTGGAAGGCATAGGTCTCTGATGTAGGAGACTGGTCAGACATGGAAAATCTTAGAGAAACGCAGTCTACAGTCAAAATAAAATTGTTCTTATAGCATCTCCACCTCATTACAGTCTCATAAAGCTGTGTAGTATAATGTCACCTGGGCTGCCCCAGTTTTCAGTGCTCACAAAGGATGGGTCTTAAACCTGGAAGGGGGAGTGTGGACCCTATACTGTGGTAAATGTGCCAAAGTGCTACAGTTGAGGTGTCCAAACAATTAAGTGATTTAAAACTTGAGGTATTTTAACTCTGAGATATTTACAATTTGATGTGCAGTCTAGGATGGTTCTGTGTAAGAAGGATCAACATTCTGCCTCTGCAAAAGGAAATGTGGGAATCCTAGCTGACTGCTACTGATGGCTAAAAAGAGGGAGATAAGTTCAGTCAGACACTAGGGCAATAAAAACAAAAAATATTTCTCTTTGGATGTCATCTATTTGTTCTGGTCTAGTGAGAATAAACCTTCAACTGTTTTGCCGAGCTGTCCCCTCTGGCTATGCTCTAGGTGGAAAATAGCTTTAAATTCTTACCTCCCATTTAAGGATTTGTCTGCTTATGGTCACCTTTAAGCTATTACACTCATCTTCCTGTTGCCTCAGTTTTGCCACAGCATCCTGGATCTTTCCCTGATAAAAGTTGGGTGAAGAAAGTGCAGTCAATTGGACAAATTCTTAAGGAGAATAAGTGGTTCCTGCCGTCCAAGATCATTAGAATAACATGAAATATTGTTGATTCCTTATCCTTTCAGAAGAAGCGCCCCATGGACTGGCTGTGCAGTAACAATATGATCCCCTTATACCCAGAACAGTTGGTAGGATTTTTACCACCATTTCTGTGCTGCAGAATCAGAGGCTTGGGAAGAGATTAAGGAACCTGGCCTGGTGCTTTATCTGGTAGGTACTGAGCTCAGAAGCCAGGCTCATCTGCTCCCTCACAGGTGAGCTCTATCTGTCTCTAGAGCCTCAACCAGAAGATGATGCATACAGAACAATGTAGTAACCATCCAAAGGACTTTCTCAAAATTTCTATATATGGTACATAGTATGTGTCCATCAGGACTCCCCCAGGAAGCTTCCCAGATACCAGTCACAATAGTAGGGACCAAACTACTGTAGGCATTCTCCTTTAGCTGATTTGTTTACTCAACCAGAATGTAGGCTAAATTACAAGTAGTGGGTCTCTGTCCATATTTTCAGATTCCATGACATGGCCTTGCACATTGTGGTTTCTCAAATTGTGCACACACGTGAAGATAAAACAAGCCGCTGTGGGTCTGAGCAACTGTATTAAACAGTAAGCGGTCATGACGGCATGGATGAATAGGGACAAGACTCTGAAAGTCAGAGGGCAGGTAGGATTTGATTCGGTGTGGACCCAGGATGAACTATTTTTCAGAGGAATGAGATGAAAAATAGCTGTGTTTCCTGATCACGAGTTTAGGATTCAGTATAAAAACTCTTAGATCTGAGAGTTCAGCCCGAGAGCAGGTGCTGCTGCAGGAGTCCGGGGCGCTCACTCACCTTGTACTCGGGATATGCTTCTTTGTCAAGAACATGGCTGTGTCCTTTGTGCTCTAGGGACCGCTCACAGCACCAGCAGATGAGCTGGCCGTTGTCCTCACAGAACAGGTGGAGTTGCTCCCCATGTTCCTCACACAGCTTCTCACGGTCCATTTTCTTGATAGTTTCAATGAGGTTTTCCAGCTGTTTCATGGGCCGGAGATCCTTCCTCTCAAATATTTTCCAACACAGGGGACAGTTGAACTCCTCCAGGTCTGAGTCCCACTGTTGTTGTTTCTTCATAATGTCCTCTATGCACTCACAGCAGAAGCTGTGCTCACATTCGATGCTCACAGGCTTCGTCATCAGCTGCTGGCAGAGAGAGCACGTGGCTTCCTCCTTCATCTTCTTGATAGTGGTAACTAAGGCCATGGCTTTTCTTCAAAAGCTCCAGTTTGGTTTGGAAGCAGAGATGAAGCTGTCAGAATTTTCCAGTGATGGAACTACACAGAAACTCGGTCATTCGGCCTCCGAAGGCCTTGAAATCTGTCTGGAGAAGAAATGGTTTGGATTTGGAAGAGGCAAACCCTATTGCTGGCTTGGAGAAACGGTGATCCCTATCACAACTGGCTACTAAAATTTAATTTACATAAATGAGAAGATTTAAATTTTCTAATTCTACTTCCCACTAGCTGTGTTTCAATTGCTTCCTATCTGCCTGTGGACTGGCTACATGGCACCCCGGAGAGAGAGCATTCTATCACTGTAGAAGTAAAGAGAGATAGAAGCAAGGGAAGCTTCCCCACAAAAATTGCAGGCAGAGAGAAAACTAAGTCAGGGAGAATGAATCTCTTTCCCCATCTATTGAACATCAAGAATGATAATTAGGGCCTCCCTGGTTGTGCAAGGGGTTAAGACACAACCTCTGAAGCTTTCACCAGCCTCTGATGCACCAGTTCAATCCCTGGCCAGGGAGCTACCCACATGCCGCAGCAGACCCCTCCTGACTCGGCCGCTGCTCCACTCAGCAGTGTATTTCAGTACATTTGCCCGTTCTATTCCCCCCTCTGCCTCACACCCCCCCGCCCCCCCCCCACACCTCTGGCCTATATGCCAGTTCTTGCATGCATAAATAAATAAACCTTAAAAGAAAAATAAGTAATTACTGCCCAAATCACTTCCTTGTAAGTAGTAAAACCTCTCAGGAACTGGGTGATCTATGAAGGATTCAAATGAGGCAAACACACCTGACTCTACTTCCCCCAACCTCCCTCCCCTAATTGTCCCAACCCCAACTCCCAACTTAAAACATAAAAGGGCAATAATTTAATAAAGATTCAGATGGAGATGGCAATAGGATAAAAATAAACCAAGGAAACCAGAACAGTGTCCCTTCTGTCACTTCTTGGTGACCTGAGAGAAAGAATCTGAAAGTGCTGGAAAGTAAGAGTTGGTACTGGGAGCAGAGCGGAAGACACCTGGGAAATAGCAGTCTTAGGAACTGTCTAGCAGGGGATGGATGTCCTTGGTGGGAAAACCCAGGGAGTTTGCAGGATCCAGATGTGGGGAAAGTGAGAAGCAGTGGGGATGGGGGGGAAATGTGGGATACTGGGTACGAGACACCTCTAGAGTCTAATAATGAGGATCTGAGAGCCAGACAGGGAGGAATGACAGGAGCAAAGAGGCCTACCCCTTCCCCACAGCTAGGTGCTCAGAGAACCTAGTCCTGCCCCCTTCCCACAGGGATCCGATAAGGGACTTACCTAGAATTATCACTAGTATCTAGTGAGTTCCTACAAACCAACAACAAAGACAAAGAACCCAACTTAAAAGAGGCCATGGATCTGAACAGACACTATGCCCCAAAAGATAGAAAATGGACAACAGACACATGGAAAGAGGCTCACATCACCAGTAATTAGAAAAATGCAAAACAAAACCACAATGGAAACCACTTCACATTCATAGAACAGGTAAGCTTAAAAATGCCCACAATGACAAGTAGAGAAACCGGAAACTCATACATGGCTAGTGGAGATGTAAAATGGTGCAGCTTCTTTGGGAAACAGACATTCCTTTAGAAGTTGCAGAGTTTCCACATGATTCAGCAACTCTACTCTTAAGGATAGATTCCACACTTGACGTAAACCAAAAGACAGAGAAGCCATCTCTTGAGTATATATTCCAAAACTGAAACATACTCCACAAAACCTTGTACATAACTGTTCACAGGGGCATTATTCCAATTAGCCCCAAAGTGGAACCCAAATGTCCAACCATTGATGAATTGACACCTAAAATGTGTGAAATTGGTGCCTCCCCAGTGGCGCAGTGGTTGAGCTCTGGGTTGCGAAGCTGCCTGTAGCCTCTGCAGCGCCGGTTCTATCCCAGGCTGCTCTGGGGCCACCGGAGGAGTCCCATATGGCGCGCAGACCTCTCCTGCCTCCAGCTGCTCCCCTCAGCAGTGTACTTTGGTCCTTCTGCCTGCTCTGCTCCCCGCTCTGGCTCTGGTGAATTCTCTCACCCTCCCAGGCTTCTGACTGTGCCCAGTGCTTGTACAAATAAATAAATAAATGTATTAAAAAATAAAATAAATTAAAATGTGTGAAATTCACACCGCAAAGACCAACCGTCAGGATCCACATCTTGCAAATTTCAAACCTAAATGACTATATTCATCCATAAAAACGTACAAAAATACCAATTCATGCTCCAGAATTGATGAATCTAAAGAACACTGTACTAATGGACAGACGCCAGACACAGATGTCACGTGTTGTATGATAATTTTTGTTAACTGCCTAAAACAGGCAAATTTATAAAAAGAGAAGTTGGTGAGTCCCTGTGGGAGTATGAAAGTAGGGGGAGGAGAGTTATTGCTTAAGGATATGTGGTTTGTGTGTTAGATGAAAATGTTTTGGAGTTTAAATAGCAGTAATTGCTGTACAAATTTGTGAATACACTATAACTTTACACTGGGACACTTTGTAGATTTTATGTTCCACAAAATAGATCTTTTTAAAAATTCAATTCCTAGTTCAGTAAAGTAGCAGGATACAAAATCAACACTCAAAAGTCAGTAGCCTTCCTATACACAAACAATAAATCTGAAGAAGAAGAAATAAAAAAAACATCCCTTTTATTATCGAAACAAAAAAAATCAAATATTTGGGAATAAATCTAACGAAAGAGGTGAAGGGCCTATACAAAGAAAACTATAAAACACTGTTAAAAGAAATAGAAGAAGACACAAAGAAATGGAAAGACATCCCCTGCTCATGGATTGGAAGAATAAACATTATTAAAATGGCCATCCTACCAAAAGCAATATACAGATTCAATGCTATTCCAATCAAAATTTCAATGTCATTCTTCAAAGAAATAGAACGATTATTGATGAAATTCATATGGAATCACCAAAAACCCCAAATAGCCAAAGCTCTCTTGAAAAAAAAAAAAAAAAGGAATGGAGGCATCACACGCCCAGACTTCAAACTATACTACAAAGCCATAATCATCTAAACTGCATGGTATTGGAACAAGAACAGACACATAGATCAATGGAATTGAATAGAAAATCCAGAAATAAACCCACATATTTATGGTCAACTAATCTTTGACAAAAGAGCAAAGACTATGCATTGGAGCAAAGAAAGTTTGTTCAATAAATGGTGCTGGGAAAACTGGGTCGCTACATGCAAAAGAATGAATCTTGACCACTACCTCACACCATACACAAAAATCAACTCAAAATGGATTAAAGAACTAGACATAAGACCTGAAACCATAAAATACATAGAAGGAAATATAAGCGAAACACTAAGTGATATGCACATCAAAGACATCTTTACAGACACATCACCCAAAGCAGTGATAGTGAAGGCAAAGATAAACAGCTGGGACTACATCAAATTAAAGAGCTTCTGCACAGCAAAAGAGACAATAACAAAAACAAAGAGAAACCCCACCAACTGGGAGAACATTTTTGCACCCAACACTAATGATAAAGGACTGATCACAAAAATCTGCCAAGAGCTGATGAGACTCAACAACAACAAAGAAAATAATCCTGTCAAAAAATGGGCAGAAGAGCTAAAAAGAAACTTCTCTGAAGAGGAAATGCAAATGGCCAACAGGCATATGAGAAAATGTTCAACATCACTTGTAATCAGGGAAATGCAAATCAAAACTACCATGAGATACCATATTACACCAGTGAGAATGGCACATATTAAAAAAAACTAGCAACAACAAATGTTGGCGAAGTTGTGGAGAAAAAGGAACTCTCCTGCCATTTCTGATGGGAGTGCAAACTGGTCCAACCACTATGGAGAGCTGTGTGGAGATTTCTGGACCTACTAAACATAGAGTTTCCATATGATCCAGCAATTCCACTCCTAGGTATTTACCCAAAGGACACAGAAACATCAATTCCAAAGAGCACCTGCACCCCTATGTTTATAGCAGCACTGTTTACAATAGCTAAGCTTTGGAAACAACCCAAATGCCCAAAAATAGATGACTGGATCAAGAAGATGTGGTACATATACACCATGGAATATTACTCAGCATTCAAAAAAGATAAACACAGGGCCTCCCCGGTGGTGCAGCTTCGCTGGGTTGTGAAGCTGCCTGCAGCCTCTGCATCGCCAGTTAGATCCCCAGCTGCTCCCTGGCCACCAGAGGAGGGTCCCACATGGCGCGCAGACCTCTCCTGCCGCCCGCTGCTCCCCTCAGCAGTGTACTTCGGTCCTTCTGCCTGCTCTGCTCCCCGCTCTGGCTCTGGCGAATTCTCTCACCCTCCCGCGCTTATGACTGTACCCAGTGCATGTACAAATAAATAAATAAATACATAAATAAAAATTTAAAAAAAGTGAAGATGTTTCACTATTTAAAAAAAAAGGGGGGGCCTCCCCGGTGGCACAGTGGTTGAACGCTGGGTTGTGAAGCTGCCTGCAGCCTCTACAGCGCCAGTCCAATCCCCGGCTGCTCCCCGGCCACCAGAGGAGGGTCCCACATGGCACGCAGACCTCTCCTGCCCCCCGCTGCTCCCCTCAGCAGTGTACTTCGGTCCTTCTGCCTGCTCTGCTCCCTGCTCTGGCTCTGGTGAATTCTCTCACCCTCCCGAGCTTCTGACAGTACCCAGTGCTTATATAAACAAAAAACAAACAAACAAGTAAAATAAATAAATAAATAAAAACATGCCTCTTTAAAAAAAAAAAAAAGATAAACACATGCAATTTGCAGCAACATGGATGGCGCTGGAAGGGATCATGCTCAGCAAAATAAGCCAGAAAGAAAAAGAAAAATACCGGATGGTCTTACTCATAGCAGGAATCTAGAAAACTTAAATAAGGGACCAGGAAAATGAATAACTATAAGAAAGTGAAAATCAAAATCAACAAACAACTATGAACCAGAGACACTCCATGGGGGGTGGGGTAGCGGGGAGGGGAGGGATTGGGGTCAAAATAAGAGGGTTGCAATTGTATGGGGAATATAAAAATAAAATTTATTTTAAAAAAATTTAAAAAAAGTCAATTCCTGGGCCTCCCTGGTGGCACAAGGGGTTAAGACACAACCTATGAAGCTGTCCACTGCCTCTGCAGCACAAGTTGGATCCCCCGCCAGCCAGGGAGCAACGCACGTGGTCCAGCGGACCTCCCCTGACTCCCCTGCTGCTCCCCTCAGCAGTGTATTTCAGTCAGTCTGCCTGTTCTGCTCCCCACTCTGTCTCTGGTGAATCCTCTCACCCCCCACACCTCTGGCCTGTACCACAGCTCTTGCATGCTTAAATAAATAAATCTGTTTAAAGAAGTCAATTCCTGGAAAACATGTCCACATATGCAAAGAAACATATGTAGAAATGTTTGTGACCCAAAATAGAGAGACTAATAATCAAAATTTATCAGGACTCATACAGTTGTTATAAGCAGAAAACAGAAACTTAAGATAGTTACTTTTACTGCATTTCATACGTTCCAAAGTTAGAGACTCCTAAAAGTAATTTAAAAGATCCTAGAAAAGGAAACTCTGGCATATGATATAAACGTACAATTGTTATAGAGCAGCCCCGATATTAAACGGGTTCCTGGCTGTGGGTCCTCACTCGCGCTTAAAAGGGACTTATGAATACTCCACTACAGGCACACACAAGGTTAATAAAAGGTTTATTTACAAGGGAAAGGGAATTAAGGAAATGTACAACTCAGGGAGAAAATAGGGAAATAAAGTCTTTAATGCGTCCTACCCGATCCGCCGACCTGGAAACCCAAAGGCACTCTCAGAGCTGGCCTGACGCTGAGCTGGTGAGGAGCCAAAATGGAGGATCTTCTCCAAAGCCCACGTGTCCGGTTTTACCAAACCTGGCTGCTTAACCCCACCCTCAGGTCCCAGCCACCTTCCCTTGGGTGGTGATGGGATTTGGAGTTCCCAGTGTCTTTGGCATTGGCCTGGGGTGGGGGTGGAGTCCACGAAGCCTGTACGGAATGAGCTTTAGGACATCCTTTTCCCCTAACAGGTTCTCTGGCTCAGCACCAGCCTGGCCCCCAGGACCCTTAATTTTGTCTCCCCCTCCTCTGCATCCCGGGCAGACCCGCCCCACCTCATTCCCTTCTCTTCACTCCCCCAGTCAGACTCAGTTTCTCCCTTTTCCAGACCCGCCTCCGGGGCGGGAGGGTGGGCCAGCGGGGCGGGGCCGGGGCTACCACTGGGAAGGGGCTCACGGTGAGGGGGGATAGGCTTGGGAAGGGCGAGGAGGTGGGGAGGAAAGAGCCCCCAGTAGGCGCTCCCTGGAGCTTTCCTTTCCCATAGATGCTGGCGGGGCCCTTGCTTGTTCTCCTCCCTCTGCGTGTTGTGGGGACTGGAAAGCGCAGCCCCCCCTGTTTAAGCAGCCCCTGCCTCTGTGCTCTTGTTTCTCATCCGCGGGCGTCTCCTCAATAACTGACCATCCCCTGAGAGAATCACCCAAGAGCATGGCGGGTTGTTCTCAGACAAGAGCCAGTCATGACAAGCGTCTTTATCAGAGAGAAACTTGCCCCACCGCCTTTCATCACTTCAGTTTCCAGGACGATGTCGCTGCCAATGCCAGGGACAGGCTGTCACTGAAATTCCTGCATCCTCACAGGCAACAGCCCTTGTCAGCTCATGGACTGCATAGGATACACTTACAAAGGACCAGTCTCTTAGACAGGCATTAACAAATTTGTCTTTCCACTGTTTTGTGACAGCTTTGTCTTTGATGGGCATTAACAAGATGAACAGTTTGTCTTTCCCCCATTGGTTGCAATTTCCCCCTCGTTTGACAGAGTTATCTTTATGACCCAACCCCCAGATGAGCACTCCTGCATTTCAAGGAAGAGAAAGTTAAACATCAGCTATGGAAGAAAAACAAGCTGGCGCCCAACCTTCCCAGTTGCTGACCCCTTCCCTCTCCCCTTTTGCAGACCCTCGCCCAGCTCCACTTTTTTCCCTTGGTATAAACACCCCTGCCCTCTGCCAAAGAGCAGGACGGTTGTCTTTCAGACATGAGTCTGCTGCCCTCCTCATTTGTCGACAAATTAAACCGCTTTCCTTTTCCTCAAACTCTGTTTCCTTTTATTGGCTGAGGGAAACTGAGGCCAGTGTTCACTAACAATTTTGGCGAGACAGCCAGGAGGTGGATTCCACTTTGGCTCTCCGAACCCCAACTCTGACTTGCAACGATGGAGCAGTTGGCCATGGCAGCATGCCAGGGCTTACTTGTGTTGCATGAGGATGATGGAGAAGTGACCTGAGGACAGCAAGGGAAAGGCTGACCGAAACGCTGAGAAAACTCGCCTGTGCCAGGGCGGAAAACTGCCTGGGAGGGATGCCCCGAACTTGCTTAGTCCTTGGAGGTCTCCTCCGTCGTGACTTAGCAACAGAGGCTCACAAGGACAGGCATGTCCGATAAGCCCAAGGGGTCACCTACGTGGTGTGTATGAGCTCACGTACATGGCGTGCGAGGCAAGGTTGTTTTGCTTTCTCTGACTATGTATGATAAAACGCAGATGTCTTTGTTCATAATTCCTACATAACCATGCTGAGAAAAATAGGGAATCACTGCTTGTAGCTGACAGCAGTCCCAGTCTGGTGTGTCCTTTGCGACCAGCATCCCAGGTCTCAGAACCCACTAGAGGGTCACAACCTGTCTACGCTGTCAGAGAGGGGCCTGGGCATCCTGGGTGGCATCCTGACCCGCCTGCTGAGAGGGAGCACCCTCTCTCCAGGAGGATGAGGGAGAGTCCCAGCAGCTGCCCGGGAGTTTTCCCCCCAGGAACTTCCCAAGTCCTACTCTGGAGAGGCACAGCTCTTCTCTGCACCCTGCATTCACCTTTGAGGACATGGAAACTGGATGGAAAACCACGGTCCCCTGGCATTTGGTGTAAGTTCCCCCGGCGTGCACGCTGAGACCTTGGCCTTCACACATTTGGGAGGAATTGGAGTCCCCCTCAGGGAGGGAGTCCAGTTCCCCTCAGTTTGGGAGGGAGTCTATGAGTCTCCCTCAATTTGGGGCGCCTTTGTTGTGTTAGGCCCAGTTGAGTGGGAATTGGGAAACATTTGGTATTTTTACTTGATGCCTACTTGGTATCTGGTATTTGGAGTTTCCTGTTTGTTTGTTTATGTAGTTTTTTTTTTTTTTTTTTTGGAAGCCAGGGATTTTGTTAAAATTATGAGAGGCTCCATATTTGTTTCATATGAAAGCCCCTGGGGAAAATAATAACTGAGTGGTCCACCTGTAGCTGTAACAGAGTGGTTCCCAGGAAAGGGGAAGGTTCCAGGTTCCCTGCCCCACCCAAGGGAGGGTGGAGCTGAGCAGGGAGCAAAGAAGCTGCAGAGAAGACTAAGGAAGGAAGGAAGCATGATGGAGCCAGGAGACCTGGAGGAGGCAATTGGAACCGAGAGATATGTGAAGAAACTGCGCTTGCCTTCTGTAGTGGCCTGCGTGACACAGATGTGGGTGAGAGACCCGTGGGGAGTTGACAATGCCGGTTTTTGTCTTGATTTTGATTTTGCTCTTTCCCCTCCAGACTTGTCTGGTTGTTTCTGATCCGTTTCTGTGGGTCCCACTTGGAAGACCTGTGGCAGGCTTTGGGGCCTCGCTCTGGGCCAATCCTGCTTGGGTGGACTTTTACCCACGAGGGGACGGATAACTTTGGGTGCTTGATTTAGAAACTAGATTCTTTGCCTTTCCTGTATTGTTTCCTAATTGTATTAAATTTCCTTCCCATTAAAGTCTCATTTGTTTTGTGTTGATGCAGCGGATGGCAGAACCCATTTAGAGCAGGCAGTTTTGTGGGGTCTAGGCTGCCCCTCTCCCTGCCCTGTAACATAGCTACAAACCTATTGTTATAGAGCAACCCCGATATTAAAACGGGTTCCTGGCTGTGGGTCCTCACCCGCGCGTTTTAAAGGGACTTATTGTTATAGGACAGGGAGAGGGGCAGCCCAAACCCAGCAAACCTGCCTATTCTACATGGGTTCTGCCATCCGCCGCATCAACACAAAACATAGACTTTAATGGGAAGGAACTTTAATAAAACTAGGAAACAATACAGGTAAGGCAAAGAGTCTAGTTTCTAAATGAAGCATCCAGAGTTACCCGTCCCCTCGTGGGTAAAAGTCCATCCAAATGGGATTGGATTGGCCCAGAACAAGGCCCCAAAGCCTGCTACAAGTCTAAAGCATCTTCCAGTGGGGACCCACAGAAAAGGGTCACAAACAACTGGACAAGCCCGGAAGGAAAAGAGCAAAATCAACATCAAGATAAAAGCTGCCATGGTCACCTCCCCACGGGTCTCACCCACATCTGTGTCACCTAGTCCACGACCAAAAAACAAGCGCAGTTTCTTCACGTGTCTCTAGGCTCCATGCGCCTCCTCCAGGTCTCCTGGCTCCATCCTGCTTCCTTCCTCAGTCTCTTCTACAGCTTCTCCTCTTCCTGCTTAGCTCCACCCTCCCTTGGGTGGGGCAGGGAACCTCCCCCTTTCCTGGGGACCACCCTGTTACATTATGAATACTCTACTACAGACACACACAAAAGGTTAATAAAAGGTTTATTTACAAGAGAAAAGGAAATAAGGAAAATGTACAACTCAGGGAGAAAATAGGGAAATAAAATCTTTAATGCGTCCTACCGGGATCCGACGACCTGGAAACCCAAAGTCACTCTCAGAGCTGGCCGGACAGCAGCGAGCTGGCGGAGAGCCAAAATGGGGGATCCCCAAAGCCCACGTGTCTGCCTTTTGTATCCACCTGGCTGCTTAACCCCACCCTCAGGTCCCAGCCACCTTCCCTTGGGTGGTGATGGGATTTGGAGTTCCCAGTGTCTTTGACTTTGACCTAGGGTGGGGGTGGAGTCCACAAAGCCTATATGGAATTAGCTTTGGGACATCCTTTTTCCCCTAACACTATGTCTAAGAAGCAGCTCGCATCACTGTTTCCCTGCAGGAGCCCAGGAAAAACTGATAGTGGGGAACAGACTGATGTTATTTTTTCTAACACAAAAGGCAGGCAATATGCGCTCCTTTTCCAAATTGGCTGGCTCATGCATGAGTTCCTTTTATCTATCCTCTTCTAAAATCTTACCCTGAAATCCAGTTTCAGGTGCTTTGGCTTTAGGCAACCAGGGATAACCCTGACTCTTCTAGGACATTGGCAGATGGCTGGAAGGGCTGGAATTGTTCCAATGAGAGTATTGGACCTGGACCAGAGCTTCTACTTGATGTCGTTTTTGGAGTTGGTGGGTGTAGAGTACGGGATCCTTGGGTTCACTCTGGAAAGGTTTCGCTAGAGCTCCTGTTTTCAGCAACACACAGCAAGTTTCCCAGGCAAGTTTCTCCACAAGACAGAGATGTCAGTTATATTTAAAGGGCAGGTTTATTAGGGAAAGGGGTACTGGGAGCCAGGCTACTCATGTCGTCTGACCGGGTCCGGGCATGGGGCAGATTCATGAATAGTCAGGAATCTCCTTAGCTGACTCCTGCTAGATTCTCCTCATTTGTTTATGACTAGTTTCTACCATTGTTAAAATACACATTTAAAAGTAAAACTGCAAAAGCTGTTTGATCAATTACTGAATAACCAATTGGATGGCAAATGGTACTGCAAATGCAAATATTACATTTTTTAATAATTAATAATTCTCTGCCAAAAGCAGTAATTCAACATCGGGCCTTACATTAACAAGTGAAAAAACTCCTGGGAACAAAAGGCTGTAAACATCCCTTGGCCAAGTCTTTAATTGGAGATGTGGTCTTTTGAGGCAAGGACTAATTGGAGAAGGAAATTCTCTTTAAAGTTAAAGATAGCAGTTGGGTGGCAGAGGCAAGCATGCTCCAAGTGTAAGAAAATTCCTAATAAGCCAGGAGGCACCATAGCCGGCTCCTGCTAAACTCTTCCTGTTTGTTTAGGATTGTCTCCCCTGAATGTGACAATTGGTATGGTAACTGTTACCTACAGAGAAAGGAATTTTCCCTTGATCTTAAGTTAGATAAGGAAACTAGGCTGACCAAGGAGTA